TTGCGGCGTGCAACCCGATTCTCTAATATGGACTTTTAATAAGTTGTTGCGGCGTGCAACCCGATCCTCAATTATGGACTTTTAATAAGTCTGTTGTGGCGTGCAACCCGGACCTCCAATATGGACTTTTAATAAGTCTGTTGTGGCGTGCAAACCGATCCTTCAATATGGACTTTTAATAAGTCTGTTGCGGCGTGCAACCCGATCCTCTAATATATTTATTTTAATTAATTCTGTTGCGGCGTGCAACCCGCTCCTCCAATATATTCCTTTACCAATTCTTATAAATGAAAATACCATAATTAATATAATATTTTTCAGACAATAAGCACACAATAATTATGATTTAATTATGAAACAAACAATGACAAATAGCAATTTATTAAGGAAATCAGGGAGAAAATAGGTAGTTTAATGTTAAATATGCTAAATGTCAAGTAGCAATTAATACACATAATTCAAGTAGCATGTAACAATTATTGCAGGAATTCAAGAATTAATATTTGTCAAAGAATAGGAAAGAAATAATTATTATAACAATTAATTCATGATTAAAACAATTTATAATTTTCAAGTAAATATGCAAACAATTAATTTGACGACGTATAGACATTCGCCACCTCGCCTATACGTCGTTCACATGCATTTCACATAACAAATAGTTTAAGGGTTCTATTCCCTCAAGTCAAGGTTAACCACGACACTTACCTCGCTTTGTAAATTCCAATAAATTATTCGACCACAACTTTTCCTTTTGAATTTGTCTCCAAAAGCGCCAAATCTATTCACAAACAATTCGATATTAAATACGAATCATAGGAATTAATTCCATATGAATTTACTAATTTTTCGGATAAAAATCCGAAATTCATTTAAATATTCGACAGTGGGACCCACAGCTCAAATCTCGAAAAACTCGCGAAATCCGAACATCCGTTTCGCTACGAGTTCAACTATACAAAAATGGACCTTCAAATCTTAAATATTCGTTTTTGAAAGATTTTATAAAAATCTGTTTTTTCTTCCCTAAATTCACGGATTCATGATGTAAATGGGTATGGAATCATGAAATATAATCAATATAGGATAAGGAACACTTACCCCAAGAATCATATTCTTAATCACCCATCATTACCCAAACTCGAAATTGAAGATTAGGGGTTAGAACCTTACCTCTTTGATGAAGAACTTGAGGGATTTCTTGTTGGATTTCAAGGTTTGGACAAGAATTTGATGAACAAGACACTTTATCTACTTCCTCTATCTAGAACACTCTCACTTCTCTCTAAAATCATCAGACAATTACCCCAAAATATGCCCCAAAACCTATTTATCAAAATGGGATCGGGTTATGAAAATATGTAAATGGACCCTCCGAACTCAGGTATGCGGTCGCACAATGGACCGCACAATAGGTATGCGGGTCGCACAATGGACCACAGAATAGATACCGAAAACTGGGCTATGCTGGACAGGTCTGCGACCCATTTTGTGGTCGCACAATGTGTTTTGCGATCGCATAATGATTATGCGATCGCACAATTTGCCGCATAATCGTATTTTTCCAGCTTTTGGTAATTTGGTCATAACATCTTGTAGGAATGTCCAAATGATAAACGGTTTAAAGTGTTAGAAACTAGACTCAAAGATCTTTCATTTGATAGGTAATACACCATATAACACTTCGTATCATGAGAGTTATGCTTATTTGAAATTAGATCTTGTGCAAACTCACTTGAAACTTTAGTCTTATAAAATTTCCAACTTCTACATTCGATGCCGAAACCTATCGAATCAAGTCCGATTGACCTCAAATTTTGCACACAAGTCATAAATGACATAACGGAGCTATAAAAATTTTCGGAACTGAATTCCGACTCCGATATCAAAAAGTCAACCCCGTGATCAAACTTGGAAATCTTTAGCCTTTAAATTACTAGTTTTCGTTAAATGGTCATAACTTGATCTAGGGACCTTCAAATTAAATTCTGGACATACGCCCAAGTCCCAAATCATGATACGGACCTACCAGAACTGTCAAAATACTGATCCGGGTCCGTTTGCTCAAAATGTTGACCAAAGTCAACTCAATTGAGTTTTAAGGCTCTAGTTCACATTTTAATCCATTTTTCACATAAAAACTTTTCAGAAAATTTAATGGACTTCACACGCAAGTCGAGAAGTGACAAATAGTGCTTTTCGAGGTCTTAGAATTCAAAATTAATTATTAGATTTAAAGATAATATTTTGGGTCATTAGGGGAAGGGTCACACCCCATGGGGTGTGATATAGGCAACCTACCCCGATACAAGTATCAGTGACTGATTTCACGGCTTGACTATTCATCAATTTTAGCATGTGTTTTTCTTTTTGCTTTCAAAATTTCCATTACTTATTGTGCGCAAGTTATAATATTATCTTTATCGTTTGAAAAGTTTTCAACCAATTAACATGAGACACACGTGCAACGCACGTGTCTAGAAACTAGTGTGTGTGTGTATATATNGGTTAATTATTCAAGAAGGGGGAAATGATCAAACGGGTATGGAGATTGAAAATCAGTAAAAATCCCGTTGTTTCCCACAAGTAGAATTAAAACGGAATTTTCAATCAACACTGTCACATTCTCTCCCCCGTTCCAATTTGTTTTGCACCTTTTCAGAGTACAAAAATTAAATTGACTAATTGGTGTGAATTCAAACATAAATTTCATAGTTTTTGAAATAAGATTTACATATTTTAGAATCTACGTAAAAAAGTATAATAAGTCACATTAGTTAATAATTTAGAATATTTAAAAATTATTGCAAAAATTATAATTCAAGGAAACTTTTCTTGACTCTCAAATAGTAAAAGTTTTTTTTTTTTGTTTTTAAACGGATAGAGTAAATTTTTCCTTATCAAAAAAATAGTTGGACAATTCATATTAACTAACAGGACGTTACATTAAAAAAAAGAGCAAGAGCAGAAAAGAAAATAACAAAATCAAAATTGTGTATGACTTATGAGTATGTAGAGGTAGAAATTGAGGAAGTTGAGAATGTGACTCAAAAATCAAATCAAACCATCTGCAGTGCAGCTAGTGCAGCAATGGCAACCCTGATGTATCACATGTTCTCCTCGTCTGCGCTGCTATCCCTCGGACTCTACCACCTCATTTCCACCACCAGAAACCACCACCTCAAATCTTCTCGTGGAGACTACACCGCCAAACCCTACCACCCCATCTCCGCCTTCTCCTCCCGTCTCCGCCACCTCCCTCTTTATCTCCTCCTCCTCTGCCTCCTCATCTCCTTAATCCACCAATCCCTTATCTCTTTCGACGCCGATCCTCTCCTCAAAGGCCGCACTCCTGTCCACCGCTTCACCTCTCTCCAAGCCGCCGCCGTCATTTTCTCTTTCCTCCTCTTAACCCTCGCTCTCCTTATCTCCGAGTCAACTTCGCTCCTCCCGCTCCCTCCCGATCTCTTTTTTGCCCTAGCATCCGCACTTTTCTACCTCCACTACTCCGCCTCCTCGAACTCCGCCTCCGTTCAGACCTCCGATCTTCAAGCCAAGTGCGATTCGGTTTCTGCTAATATTTCCTTACTCTCCTCTCTTCTCTGTCTCCTCATCGCCTTTCAACCCAGGCTTTTCCTTGCTGACGTGGCGCTCGCCGGTTCGATATGTCTCCAGGGGCTGTGGGTCCTACAGACGGGACTTTCGCTTTATGTTGATGCCTTCATACCCGATGGTTGTCATAAGCTGTTGGATGTTGTGAGTGGAGTTGAGGGATCGACGAAGTGTGATCTGGAAGATTCTAAGCTCAGAGCTGTCGCTATCCTCGATTTGGTTTTCGTGCTTCATGTGTTGTTTGTGTTGCTCGTCGTGATTGTTACTTATGCTGCTGTTGCTAAAACTGTTGGTATCAGGAGATTTGGCTCTTATGAGGCACTGCCCAACCCCAACACTGCTGACTCCAATCATATACAGATGAAGGCTTTGACCGGAACTCAGGCTTGATCGTATATTTCTGCACTGTACTAGGTATCATCCTTGCTTGTGGATAATAAAAACATATATTGTAATGAACTACACTACTTCTAGTCTTCTTATGATCAGTTCCTTTTTTTGTTTTCCTTGAATGGGGTTTAATGGGTCTAGAAACTGCCAAATGTTGCATAAACAATAATGGAAATAGCAGGGCTTTAGTTTAAAACTTGACGTCACAAAAGAGAAATCAAAATAACGAAAAAACTTACATGATGAAAGATGTGTTAAGCACTTAAGGGAGTTGAAGGTAACGATGGCGAAATGTTAAAGAGATACATTGCTCATTATATATGATATTTTTTAACACAATATATCAAGCAAATTTACTGCTTTTAATTACTTTGAAAGATATAAAAAACAATTAGATTATTCATAGTACTTGCCGGAAAAGAAGAAAGGAAAAGAGGATTTTCCAGATTAATTATCTACATTCTGTATTGGCCTTTGAGATGGCTGTGTTGAGTGTTGATTAATGTTCGTGACTTCGTTCCCTTAGTACATGCTTTATCGAATCTCCTAGTTGGCCATTTTATTTTAACAAATGCCCTTTTTTCTCTTCTCTAATTCTTCCTGCTCCTCTCCATTATTTACGGGCGCATTCCTCCAAAAACGGAATTCGTATAAAGAAAACAAGTGGACCGAAACGGACTTGGTGGTCCGGTGGGGGCAAAACTCCGTCGGTTGATAGTGAACGATAGGTATAGCAAGTTGTATATCACAGATCGTTGGACCTGTATTTACAGATACACATACCTAATATAGGAATGACTCAATTGTAATTGCCTTATAAAGCTTAGGAAATTCCTGAATTTCTTGGGCACTCTTGAGTCTTGTTAGATATCTATTCTCCTTTTTCTCACATATATCATATTGAAACTCTACTACACGTTCATTGGAAGGGTTAAGTATTGTAGATTTGCTTGGGAGAGAGTCTCTCATTTAACGTCTTGGTTCATTTTCTTCTGAGCTCGTTCACTCCAAGGTTGATGCGATGATTCAATTATCCTGATCCTATAGACCCCTACAGAAGAACATTATTTTGCTTGACCTGTAAACCAACTCATTTGAGGGGATGATAATTGGCGAGAATTCCTTAAGGACACTTTCAGCCCAAAGATGCACCGGGAAATTATTATTCTGGATCCACCTTTTAATCTGTTTCGTGCCCTTTCTGCAAAACATTGCTGCTGAAATTTGGAGGGTTGATGAGAGCTCCTTACGGACACGGAAATATTTCCCAAGCAAATATTTGGTGGCTGCTGTGAAGAGTGGAAAAGTGGTGTTGGTTTTTGCACAACACTTGACGAAAAGTGGCTTTTTACTTGCGGCAGACCAGTGTTTGCCAGAAAAAGACTTCCGGTTCACTGATTTCTCTTCCCGCAGTCGCTGGAATTTATGCACAACGATAAATCTCTCATGATTGTCTGATACCATGTGAGAATGCACGGGAGAAAAATCTATTATTGATATTCTATTAATTATAATACAATGAGCCCTATTTATACAATACATATCATACTCCTATTCTAAGTGGGACTAGGACTAATTCATATTATGTTCATAACTATCTAACAGTTGCATTCAAGGGGTGAATAATAAAGCTTCAATGAGTATTGATATCAAAAATTGGGCCAAGAATACCTGGAGACTGGCAGCAAATATCAAGGAGACAGAGTAGCTGAAGCAATAAAAGCCAAATGCTGGGGTAAATTTTGGAAGAGTTGGTCGGCAAGCTGCACGACCCGAAGCTCCTCTTTGCCTCTTCAAAAATAGTTGTAAAATATAAAGTACCTGTATTTACACACACACATACATGATATAGGAATGACTCACTTGTAATTCCCTTACAAAAGCTTAGGCAATTCCTGAACTTCTTGGGCACTCTTGAGTCTTGTTAGACATATATTCTCCTATTTCTAGCATATATCGTATCGAAACTCTACTATACGTCCATTGGAAGGGTTAGGTATTGTACATTTGCTTGGGGGAGACTATTAATGCCAATCATGACATGATATTCTGTTTGTTGCGAGGCCTGGGCTTGTAGAAACCTTAAAGAACTTGAATAGCGTATCACAGGGTGTTAGCTATGTTCTATGCAGAACTGGGTAGACCCATAATTTTCTTGGAGGTTTTTGTGCTCAGTCGACTGAACCTTCCTTCTGATAAAATATACCTCTGCCGATTATAGCATCACCAACCGAAGTTGTGTGAGGTATTCTCTTAGATCCTGAGAAGAAACAGAAAGATGTTACATCAGGCAGGAGATTATAAAAGAAGAGCTTCGTCTATTAGTAAACAAAGGATCAACACATCCTTGGATTAAGCGAATCCTACCCCTCTTGTACGAAATTTGTTTGCTCGTAATGGACTGCTTAATAAAATGGGTATGGTAAATGTTTTTTTAATACTTAATTTTATTACGACCTGTGTCTATTCCTTTAGTTCTACAGATCTTCAGTAGTTTTATATTTTAAGATTGAGATAAAACAGAAACAGTAGTTCACCTTGGCCTTGAGCTAAATTTCTATGGTTGCCAATTTGGCATATGGTTCTCTGAGTTAATAAAGCTATACCAGCTTGTATACAGCCCAAAAATTGGTGTACCCCTTAAATATAGAACGAAATAAGCATTTATTTGGTCATTTTTTTGTGTTGCCCCTTTTTTGGATGCTTCATAAGTTTAAAAATACTTACTCGAAAGATGGGGTGATTTTATTAATTTAAGCAGGATCAAACTCCTAATAGCTCTATAAATAGCTCCTATTGATGACTTGCAGCCTGGGAAGAGTTCACTTGTAGCAGTGCAAACTTCAGGCCTCGGGTCTGAAGTTCACTTGTAGCACCGCAAACTTCATACCTCGGGTCTGAAGTTCATTTATAGGAGTGCAAACTTCAGACCTCGTTCTCTGGTAATCATAAAACACTGCCAAAATTGCACACCCATGGTGTGACCGCCTGTATCCATTTACATGTAGCAATGGGTGTAGCAGGTGGAAATGCCAAAGCTGAACTTAATCATCACATCTGGAGCAATCATGCTCTTTCTTATGCCTCCTACAAGTTTGAGTCACTAACTAAAAGCATCACAGAAGAATGTGAATGTGTTAATACTTTGCCCGTCTAAAAGCATTTGGATGTGGCAATATAACTCTAAAACATCCATTAAAGATATGTTGACTTCTGGTTGGCTTAGTTCTGATGGGAAAAAGAGAACACCAGTTAAACGTTTTATAGTTGGAGTTTTGGGTTTTACTTGTGATGTAGCTAATGGTATCCCGGTTTTCTATGTCCACACTATTAGCTGCTGCTGTCTTTGGATCTTATTTTGCCTGCCTTAATTCATTGAATCTGGTGAATATCCTTTCAAAGGTTCGTAAATCTTTCAGAAGTCTATAACTACTAGTGTTAAGTCTCATGTCTGTAGCTTTCTTTTTACTGGGTAGTCAACTGAAATGTGTAAAAACACAATCGTTTTTTATAGCAAAAAATTCTTCTTATGGTCATGAACTTCGCCTATGTGAGGGTCTAAAGTTTCACTTGTAGCAGTGCAAACTTCAGACGATGGTCAAGGATTGTAGTGTTTTTTATGCAGGCTCTTGGTGTTCTTGTTATCACTTATCAATTTATTTCCTAATTTTCAACGAACTACATTCCGTATGTTTAACAAGGCCATATTTATATATAAAAGGGACTGATTGCTTACTGTGGTCAAACCATATTGGTTTGCAATAGTGCTGCTATTCGTGTTGCATTTGTAAATGAATGTGGTGTATGATTAGCAATCTCATATCACTCAATGATCTCTAGTGCATCTGTGATTGCAGAGTGGTGGTTTCTTACACTTGATGAAAACATTTGCAGGAGATTAGTAGAAGATGAGCTCCATGATCTGACACAAGAACTCCATAACATAAGTAGAGCTCCCAGGTATCTCCGGTGATTGACTGTAAGAGTTGAAAGAGTTTTGCTACCGCGAAGCCATGGTATGGGAGATGGGAATATTTTTGTCCAACTTTTAGTTACTTATTACATAGCGGCTGAACTTCAAATAGTTATTAAATACCGGTTTGGTTTTAAACTGTGGTCTTAAAATAGGCTATTTGTGCACTTCCCCCAACAAATTCTTGGATTAAGTGATCGAGTCCTAACCCATCTGTCCGATATTTCTTTGCTCGTAATGAACTAACTGTTTGCAGAATCAAATGATAGTGGTAAATATTTTTTAATTTCCTCTTCATACTTGTATCTCCATTTGATTATGACATGTCTAACCCTTTAGTTCCACAGATTCTTTAATGGTTTCCTGTTTTACATTGAGATTAAACAGAAACAGTAGTTGACCTTGGTCTTGAGTTAAATCTCTACGGTTGCCAGTTTGGCACATTGTTCTCTGAGTTAATAAAGCTATTCCAGCTTGTATAGTAGAGCCCAAAAATTAGTGTACCCCTTTTTGAAGATGGATCCCTTCGGTAGATCAACGTCCAAAAGTGAAATATATGAAGGAGAGGGACAAACTTATTCCTAAAATAAATGAAAGGATGAACAATCTCAATTCTTTAAACATAGAGAAGTGTGTTTATTTGTATGGTGAGCTTCTAGGCGAGTTCACATCTTCAATAATATGCATGAGATGCTATATATCAGTCTGTGGGAGGACTCCCCCCATTTACAAAACGGCAAAGGTCCAAGTATACCCTTGTACTTTCGAAAATGGTCTAAGAATACCTCTAGTTATATTATTGGGTTATCTATATCCCTGCAGTCATACTTTGGGTTTAAATATATCCTTCATTTAAACGGAGGGACACGTGTCATTGTCCTGTTGGCCAATTCTAAATATCTCATAATTAATTAAAAAGACTCATTATTTGGTACCCAAAAATTAATTTTCTAAAGTAATATTTTTGGTAAAAATTGAAAAAAAATGATTTTTTTATACTAAAAACTGTAAAAAGAAAATATTTTTTTTTTTCGTTTTTACAAAATAACTGCTTTAAAAAAAACTGAAAACTATTTTCTAAAACAATGTTTTTGTAAAAACTGAAAAAAAAAAACTGAAAAGCAATTTTCTAAAGCAATTAAAAACTGTTAAAAACTGAAATTCTTTTTACTAAAAACTGAAAAAATCTAAAATATTTTTTCCATTTTTTAGAAATATATTTCTTTAATAAAAACTGAAAAATAATTTCTAAAGCAATTTGTTTTGTAAAAATTGGAAAAAAATTTGAAAAGCAATTTTCTAAAGCAATTAAAAACTGAAAAAAACTGAATTTTTTTAACTAAAAACTGTAAAAAAAAAATTACAAAAACAATGCTTTAGAAAATTGTTTTTCAGTTTTTACAAAAATATTGTTTTGGAAAATATTTTTCAGTTTCTTTTAAAGTCGTTTTTTTGTAAAAACTAGAAAAAAAATATTTTCAGTTTTTTTTCAGTTTTTACAAAAAAAAATATTGCTTTAGAAAATTATTTTTCGAGTACCAAATAATGAGTCTTTTTAATTAATTAAGAAATATTTAGAATTGGCCAACAAGACGATGACACGTGTCACTCCGTTTAAATGAGGGGTATATTTCAACCCAGAGTATGACTGAGGTATAAATAACCCAATAGTATAACGAGGGGTATTCTTAGATCATTTTCGAAAGTACGGGGTATATTTGGACATTTGCCATTTACAAAAACTATTACGTACAACATAGCTAAGAGTGCGGTTTGCTCATATTTCTTTTTGCCCTTGTTTTGGATCCTTCGTAAGTTTAAAAAAATTTAAATTGAAAGACAGAGTGCTGCATTTACTTAAGCAGGATCAAGTTCATTATTGCTATGTAAATAGCTCTTTTCTTTTTTCCTTGTTTATTAATTTTGGGTTATGAACCACTTGCACAGCTTCATGGATCTTCCTAATAATGCTATGAAGTCCCATTTGCACAACTAGTTTCAAACTCGTAAAACCTTCACCTATGTTAACAAACTTGTACGTGCAGAATGTCATAAGGAAAATAATTATTTATTCTGTCGTAAAATGAACGTTTAGATGTTTTTGACAGATGATTAAAATGATAGAGTTAGGCAATTTGTATGTGGAAGTAAAGGTCTCTTCTCTTAGCAGTTAGCCCTTCTCTTTGGTAAAATAAAAGAGATTTCGACTTTTTATGTATCCTTTAATTCCTCCTCGGACTTTCTATTATAAACACAATTACGCTCTCCCAAATTGTCTTTTGAGAGTCAAGCATCTAAAACTTTGACCATGATTTTTTTCAGATAAATGTTTCCTATATTTTGACATGATAAAGAAATTTCAAACTTCAGAGTTTTCTTGTGCTCCTAAATCTCTAAATAGGAAAAAGGAAAGAATCTAAATATTTGTCACATATACTTGGTTACAGGATATGAAGTATCAAGAACGGTATATGCAACTTTTTGCTATTGTTTAGTTGTAAACTACTAATATATTTTGAGAAACCTATACGAAGTATCCATATACTCGATACTCCTATTTGTCACAAACTTTAGACATGAGTACATCAAAACAAATGAAGGATACATGTAAAATAACTAATTTTATTTATTTCCAAATAATAGAATATGTGCCAAGTCCAAATACTGAAAACCTGTCCTGATTGAAATGATCAACGACACCATCATTCAGTGCAAGAACTAAAAACAGCTGCATTTCTACTTACACCCAAGTAGAATGTGAATCAAATATCACTATAGGTGGGTCGTAAACCTAATTAGATATCAGTGTCCTCGGTATTTAACAAATTTTACCTATTATTGAATTTTAACAAATGACTCCCGTCGTATGAAATGGTCGATGAACTGCAAAATAACTCTATTTGTTTAATACGCCAGCAAATAAAAGATTTTTCTTCCATAGTCCATTCGAAAGCTCTGATTATTGGGATGTGACGGAGCAATTCCTCCCATTCCCACTTCTCCATCAATTAAAGCAATATTTCTTTTCTTTTTGTATTTGTAAAATAATCACAGTCCCACCGTTATGCATAAGTTTA